GCGCCCGCCGCGCGGCGCGCGACCCGGACCAGAGCCGGCCCTCTCGGAGCTCAGGCCCGGGGTGAGGGGCGTCAGACCCACCCAACAGCTCAGTGCACAGACGGTGGCGACTTCAGTGCCGCGGGGCTTAGCAATAACCACACAACAGAAATGACTGCTAACGTGCACGGGCTTACCGCGTGCGCGCCACCGCACCTGAGGACGCGTTTAGGCATTTCCATGCAAACAAGAAATGAAACCGAAACTCGCTGCCATCAAGTAGATTCAGACTCATAGCGATCCCCGTTGTGTTTCCAAGGTTGTAAATCTTTAGGGAAGTAAGCTGCCCTTCAGGTCTGGAATTGAACCCACACCTGTGGCTTCCAGGCAAACAAGACGTGTATATGAGTTGAACATGTACCTGAGGTAGATACACTCCTTGGAGAGAACAATCATGGGAGAAAGAAGGGGTGCTTATGCACAGGGAGACAGCTCAGGAGGCAGGGGTGCATGGAGGGATGGACACAGGGAAGAGGTAACTATGGGGAGGAAGCAGGAGGGGAGCTGTTGCATTGGGGTAAATTGTCAATGTCATGAGACAAAGTGTATGTGAACTGCTGTATGGAAAGTGAATTTGCTCTGTAAACTTTCACCCAAATCACAAAACTGAAATAAAAAAAAAAAAATTTAGGGAAAAGCAGATTGCCCCACCGTCCTTTACGGAGCGGCTGCTGGGTTTGAACCGCTGACCTTCTGGTTAGCAGCCAAATGCTTAGCCACCAGGTCACCAGAGCTGCTTAATTAAAATGCAGGCCTGTGTTTTCCACGTTGTAGAGGAAACCGAGGCTCGGGAAGCCTGGGTGCACCGCCGACGCCACAGCCTTAGGAAGTGGCGGAACCTAGACCGCAGCCCCGTTCGCTCCACGCCCTGGCCCTCATCCACCGCCAGCCGGAGGTCAGCAGCCCGGGCCCCGGCCCCCGGGGGCTGCAGGCAGCGCCCCGTCTCGAGCGCCCCTCTCTGACGAGTCTGGGATTCGTGCGTCCGAAGCCCTCGGGGCCGGGGTCTCTGCCCCTCCCCGGGGGCGGAGGGCAAGTGACGTCACGGCCGCTTTAAGACCCCCCAGCCTCCACCCCATCGCACAGTCGGCCGCCTCCCACGAATCTCTGTTCTCCTTCGCAGGTGAGCCGGGGCCTAAGTGGGAGGTGGCGGTGGGGGGGATGCATCCAGGGGCCCGGGTGCAGGGGTCGTGGTGGCGGGGGTGGGGGTGTGTGTGCACAACCTGCACAGCGCTCCTTGCAGCGAGACCCTGGGCGGAGGGCTGCGCCGAAGCTGCCGAGCAGGTTGGGTCCTCCCGCGGCTCCGGAAGGGTTAAACACCCCTCCCCCTCCCCCGGGACAAAGGCACCGAAACCCCGGCGCCCCTCCCCCACCTGCTGGGCCTCTCGGGGGCGGGAGTCCCCCTCCTCCTCACCTGCGGGAGCGGCCCCTGCCCTGGGGCTCTCAGTCCCCAGCCTGGGCACCCTCCTTCGGGGCCGAGCGCGGGCCGGGGCGCGCAGGACGGGACGAACCCGGAGGAGGTGGAACGGGCTGGGCCCGCGGTAGGATGGCTTGGCTGGCGCGGTCCGGTCCTAACCTGGGGCTGGGGCGGGGCGTGCAGGGGGAAGCGAGTTTGGAGCCTGCCCTCAGGCCACACGGAGTTTAGAAGCAAGGTTGAGCCCTAAACCGGAACGGAGGTGACCTCCCCGGGTTGGGATGGACGGTCCTGGTCGCCTGCGAAGCTGAAGACTGGGGCGTGAGGGTGGGAAGACTTTGAGCTTCCTTTAGGAGCTTGTGTCCTGAGACCAACCGTTTTCAGGAGAAGAATGCCCAAGAAAATGGCCACAACCTTGGGGGCCCTGTCTGCAGAAGGGCAGGACGCAGGAATCAAGGGTGGCCTTGGGGAAGGAGAATTAGTGGGGTTCGGCTCTGGTGGCTTAGTGCCTATGGCATTTAACTGCTAACCAGAAGGCCACTCCTCAGAAGGAAGACTGGGTAGCTACTTCCCTGGAGATAGATACTGCCTGGGAAACCCAAGGAGGGGTCGCTGACTCCACAGCAGGGAGTTTGGTTGGTGTGGGGGTGTTCTGTGGGGTTTTTTGTTTGTTTCATTTTTCTGGGTTGGCTGGCTGGAACTGGGTGCCTGGGTGACCTCTAGGCCCAGGAGGGAGAGCTGGGGAAGGCCAGGCTCAGGGAAGACACGGTCCTGAGGCCCCCACGGGTAACCAGGGGTTTGGACACCAGTCTTGGTGTTCACGCTGCCAGCTCGAAGCCTGAAGCTCATGGCTGTGTTCTCAGAAAGCCCTGCAGAGGGCGCTCTCCTCGTCCCTTGGCTGGCCTGCGATGTTTCACCTCCCGGGGTTGCTTTGATTTGCATTGAAAGGCAGCGAGGACTAGTTCTCTGGCTGAGTGTTGTAAGCTAGCAGCTGTGCCTAACAACCTAGGGAGAAAGAGATGCTGAGGTACTAGGGGCCCACTTTGCCGACTCCCAGGGTCTGTGTTCTGGAACATCCTGGGTGGTGGGCAGGGCCCTCCGCGTGGGGTTAGCGGGGACAACATGGACTCAGTGCTGCCCTGCTTCCGCCCCCCAAGCTCCCGGACCGCGCCATGGCCTCCACTGCTCTGCAGCTCCTGGGGGTTGTCCTGACAATACTGGGCTGGGTGAACGCCCTGGTGTCCTGCGCCCTGCCCATGTGGAAGGTGACCGCCTTCATCGGCAGCAGCATCATGGTGGCCCAGGTGACCTGGGAGGGGCTGTGGATGTCGTGCGTGGTGCAGAGCACCGGGCAGATGCAGTGCAAGGTGTACGACTCGATGCTGGCGCTGCCCCAGGACCTGCAGGCCGCCCGCGCCCTCTGCATCGTCGCCCTCCTGCTGGCCCTGCTCGGCCTGCTGGTCTACCTCGCCGGGGCCAAGTGCACCACCTGCGTGGAGGACAAGGACTTCAAGGCTCGCCTTGTGCTCACCTCTGGGATCATCTTCATCATCTCGGGGGTCCTGACCCTGATCCCTGTCTGCTGGACAGCCAACACCATCATCCGGGACTTCTACAACCCCCTGGTGGCTGAGGCCCAAAAGCGGGAGCTGGGGGCCTCCCTCTACCTGGGCTGGGCCGCCTCGGGCCTTCTGTTCCTGGGTGGGGGGCTGCTGTGCTGCACGTGCCCCTCTGGGGGGTCCCGCAGCTCCAGCCATTACATGGCCCGCTACTCCGCGTCTGCCCCTCATGGTCAGGGGTCCTCTGAGTACCCCACTAAGAATTACGTCTGACGAGGGGTGCAGAGGTGGCAGGTCCCTGACCACGGAGCCCTCCCCCTGGAGCTGGATTCAACCCACAGGCAGTGCTGTTCGGCAGCTCTGGGGGTGGCTTTTAAGCTTTCACGTTTGCTTTCTGCTGTGTTCTTTCTTCTGGGCATTTTTCTGAACCCACTGGGTCAAGGAGACCCACCCCAGGTCTCTGCTGCTGCTGCCGCCGCTGCCGGCTTTCTGTGTCACCTTTGCATAGGGCGGAGCCAGCGATGGTGACCTGCAGTTTCCCAGGATCGCCCACCACCAACCCCCCCAGCCCCGGCTGCAGAGTGGGGAGAGGACTGCTTCCTGTCAACAAGATGGCCTGTCCCCATGAGAAGCCACCTCCAGCCAATGCCACCACCCCCAGTGCTGCTGGGAGGGCCTTCCTGGACCTGCAAGATGCCCCTCCCGTCAGGCCTCTGGACCCCCGAGGGGGGCTCTTTGAGAAGATCAGAGGGGAAGTCACAGAAAGAAAACCCACCCCCAAGCCTGCAGACCTCACCCTGTTATCACTCCCTCCCCACTACAGCCTTGGTGTAGACCAGACCTCACCTCCAGGTCCCTGTACAGTTCTGCCTGGGTTTTAACTGAATAAAGTGTGCTTTGTAAACAGGCCTGGTGTCACTTGGGGAGGCGATGGGTACTCACACTCCCTCCCCCCTTTGTACCCCTTGTGCCCTCCCTGGCCCAGACCGCCCCCACCCCCGCAGGTCTACATGATCTGGGGGAGGTCCCCCACCTGAGGCTGGTTCACACACAGATCCGAGCAACCCAGCAAGTAACAAATACTCTTTATTCCTGACTCACAGGCAAGGATGTTGGGTGAGGTGACAGGGCTGGGCCGCCCAAGGAGGGAAAGACAACTGAGCAGGACCTGTTCCCTGAAGGCCAGGCCTGGGCCTCTTGGCTGCTGGTGAGAGCAGAGCTCTCCAAGGCAGAGAGATCACGAGAACCTGTCTGGGAGCCAAAGTGGGGAGGGTGGAGCCCGAGAGAAAGGGGAGTCGGCCTGTCCTGGAGAGAAGACTGGAACCAAACTTGAACTTGTGGGGAGCCAGACGCAGGCCAGGCTCACCCACCCCATAAGTTCCGGCCAAACCCTTGTAGGGATGGTGGGCAATGAGGTGGGAACACCGCTGAGGGGTGTCTGGGCTCAGCCAGTCTTCTGGGAAGTGGAGGGGTTGGGGACAGGCGGTGGAGCAAGGCTTTCAGACAATGTCAGGGTTGAAGGCCCCTGGTGGGCGACCGTCGGAAGCTGGCAGGGTGGGTGATGCCCAGAGCTTCATACGTAGTCCCTCTTGTCCAGCCCGGACGTACCAGAGCGGGAGGGGATGGAGTAGCCCATCCTGGGTCCGCGGGGCCGGTCGACCTGGGGCGGGGGGCATGTGTAGCACAGAAGCCCCCCACCCAGCATGAGCAGGGCGGCCGCTGCCCAGCCCAGGTAGAGCGAGGCCCCCAGCTCCCGCTTGAGCGCCTCTGCCACCAGGGGGTTGTAGAAGTCCTGGATGACGGTGTGGGCGGTCCAGCAGACGGGGATGAGCACCAGGACCCCCGAGAGCAGGAGGACGGCCCCCGCCGTGAGCATGATGCGGGCCTTGGCGCCCTCGTCCTCCACACACGTGGTGCACTGAGCGCCCGTGATGGCCACCAGCAGGCCGAGCAGGGCCAGCAGGAGGGCGACGATGCAGAGGGCGCGGGCGGCCTGCAGGTCCTGGGGCAGCGCCAGCATCGAGTCGTACACCTTGCACTGCATCTGCCCGGTGCTCTGCACCACGCACGACATCCACAGCCCCTCCCACACCACCTGGGCCACCACGATGCTGTTGCCGATGAAGGCGGTCACCTTCCACATGGGCAGGGCGCAGGACACCAGGGTCCCCAGCCAGCCCAGCACGGCCAGAGTCATGCCCAACAATTCAAGGCCGGTTGAAGCCATGTGTCCCCTCAGTTGGGTCTTCTCAAGCCGGGGCGGTCTGGTTGACTCAGGAGTGACGCTGTGCCAGGTTGGGGCTTTCGGTCACAAGCAGGAGGAGGAAGCGGTCAGTGGTGGCCTCCACCTAGGCCTGTCTTGCAGGTGCGTCAGACCCTCGCTGAACACCAATCAACCTTGGTTCTGCTCGGTCCTGCAGTTTGTGTCCCCACAAGGGGCCGTTGCCCATCAGGCGCCCGGCCTCGCCAACGCTGCCTTGATGTCCCACCAAGCACGCACAGACCCCGACCCACCTGTGCTGCCTCCTGGCCCTTGCAGGCACCAGCGTTCAGCCGTACCCTCCGCCGGGTGCCACCTGGGGGACTCTGCCGCTCCCGCTGGCAGGCGGGGTTTTAAGGCTGACACAGGGAAGGAGCAAGGAGGCTCCGATTGGGGAACCATGCACGGGGAGGAGGTGGAGCCAGGGGTGCCGGGGCAGGTGGCGCACAGGGCTTCGGGACCAGTGTGGGGAACTCGGTGCCTGGAATTTCGTGTGTGCAATAACCCTGGGAACAGAGAGGTAGGGAAACTCAGGGCAGGCTGAGGATTCAGCAATGTGGCGGGGACAAAAATAACTGAGCTGGGGGGAGAGGGGCCTGCCTCCTCCCCAGCCGCCCCTCCCTGCCATTTTCACGCTCCCCCCTCGTTTCATGGTCCAAACAGCCCCCCAGTGTCGCACACCCCCGCCTTGTCCCCATTGAGTCTCCGGAATCTGATCTGTCCCAGTCTCAGCCCAGTGGCCCTGGCGGCTCCTGAGGGAGGGGCCCCGCCCGCCCCGTTTCCCAGGCAACAGGTGCTGGGCGCCCAGCTCAAGTGGTGTCGCCCAGGCAACGGCCTAGAAACTACCCCCCCCCAGGCACTGCTACCTCAGCTCAGGTGTGCCCTCCCCGCCCCCACTGCTGAAGCCAGGGGGCTAGGCCGACTCTCCAGGTCCCTGGGGGCCGGGAATAAAGAGCCTGTGTGGAAGTGTGGATGCGAGAGGCGGAGGGAGGAGCCCGGGGGGGATGCAGCCCCAGGACCCAGCTGGCTCTGGGCAGGAAGTGAAGGCCAGCAGTCAGGCCACTCAGGCCGAGACATCACGGGGGAAGGCAAGGGGGTGAGGTCCAGGGTGACTCCAAACACCTCTGAGCCCCGCCCCAGTCTGCGGGCGAGACCTCCCCTCCAGAAGACCCCCAGGGGCCAGAGATGGCCCCCGACTGTGGGCTGCAGTCATCACACCAAGCTTACATCCTGCCCCGCCCCTCGGGGTCAGGGCGTAGGGCACTGGTCTTTATGCTCCTTGGGCCAAAGACCCTTTATAAGAAACCTCATGGGACCCTCAGAATCTACCCCCACGAACACGTGTGCGTGTCACTTTGGCGGCTGGTTCATAAACTCTCTCAAGCCACCCCCCTCCCCCGTGCTGAGTCTCTACGTATTATTATTATATGATAATATGGGAAGGAAGGGTCTGGTAGTGCAGTGGATAAGGCTTATGGCTGCCAACCAGAAGGGCAGCGGTTCAAACCCACCAGCCGCTCGGAAGGAAGATGGGGCAATCTGCTTCCGCGAAGATTTACAGCCTTGGGAACCCAATGGGGGTCGGTACGAGCCTGAATCAACTTGATGGCAGTAAGTTCGGTTTGGTGTTAACATGGGGAGGGAGGGGACAAAGAGATGGCCTTGCATTCACTCTTCTGAGTGGTGGGAGGATTCCCCGAGGGCACAGGGGGCGTCCTCTGGGAGACAGCTCACCTCCACACCACTCCGGGAGGCCTGGGCCACCTGGCAGGCCTGGCAGTGCTGGGAACCTGGTCCCCGAGCGGCCGGTGCCACTGAGGCCCCCCAAAAGATTCCAAACCCAGGGGTGGGTACATTGCTTCTGGGAAGGGGTTAGGAGTTTTAGGTGCGGTTCATGGCTTCTCCCAGATTCACAAAGGGGACTGCGTCCCCATAAAGTCTGCGAACTTTCCCCCCTCTAAAATGGGGAAGCTGAGGCAGGTGCCGAAAGCTGGTCTGGCAAGTCGGTTTGGAGGGCTTTCCTCTGCCCCTCGGGGCCTCTGATTCAAGGGGCAGCCCCACGCCTTTCCTTTGGGAAAAGCAGCTGGAGCCCCCAGGTGCCTGCCCGGCCGGGGTGGGTGCCAGGAGCCTGGGCAGGTCTGTCCAGAAACTCTAGTCCCTGGAGCCTCGGATTTCAGGGGTGGGGGTAATTATGAGACGGCCAATAGAGGCGGCCCCGTCCAGGGGCTCCCTCCACGGCCTTCCCAGGAGCCAGGAATCCAGCCACACAGGTTTGGGCAGGTGTCAAGGAGTGCCAACGAGGGGCCCGCAGACCCACCCTCAGCCTCCCCAAGGGCTTCTCCATGCCTCCAGCACAGAGCCCCCCTCTTGCCTGGGCCTAAGGTAACCAACTTGTCTGAATTTGCCTTGGCCGTTCCCAGCCTTGGTCCTACAGGTCCTGACTGCTGGGCCCAGGGCAGCTGGTCACCCGACAGGCTGTGCCTGACTGACGGACCAGATAGATATAACGTCTCAGGTGGATGCCACACACACAGGTAAGCACTGTCCCCCCACTTTCAGATCCCACCTTTGGACCCAACACCCTCACATTCAAGCCAAGAACCCCCATCCTGTCAGGAACTGGCCAGCCATGTGAAGGTGGGGGCTCAGAATAAGGACACCCCCAAGGCCCATCCCCACCGGACTGAACCCCAAGGCCCCCGGTGGAGCAGCACCCTCCCCCCCAAGTTTCCCCCTCTCTGGTAAGACTAAGCGCCGCCTTGCAAGGCCCAGGCAGCCAAGGGGAGAGTAAACACGGGAGCCGGGAGAGGCCGGAAGACGGGGGTCGGGGGCGCTGCCCCCACCCCCAGCAGCAAGGGGCGGGATTTAGTACACGTCGGCAGGGGCACCCGGGTCTTCAGTCCTCAGCCCCCCACCGACAGACAGAAGAGAGCAAGCAGGAGAAAAAAAAATCAGCCCAGGCCGGAGGTCCCCTACCAGGCCTGTCGCTGCACATTGTTGCAAGTGGGTCCTGGGAGCCGAGGGGTTAAAGCGGGGGCCGGGACGGGCTCAAATGCCATTGATGTGGTGGGGTGGCCCCTCCTCCCGTCGTTACCATCTCAAAGGCACTTTAACACTTAGGACTGCCATCCCCACCCCGAAAGGCTTGGGGGAGGGGCCCTCCTCCGAGGGCAGGAAACTGAGGCCGGGCCTGTGGGACCACGCCCTCCACCTGCCCCTTCCCCAGAGACAAAGCCCAGCCAGTTGCTGTCCGCCCGGGTCGACGGGGGCGGGGGGCGGGAGGCTCGGGCCCGCCTCAGAAACCAGAGCTGGGCCGGGTGGGGGAGGGGGGGAGTTGGTGAGCCCCAATCCCATTGTCTCTGTCGCTGCTCGAAGGAAGTGCGGCCGAAGACAAAGGCAACTATTGGTGGCGCCAGGGATAGTGGGGGGCTGCAGCCCCAGCGCACAACCGAAGCGCGGGAGGGAAGCCGGACGGAACGCAGGTCCCCCCGCTCCCACACCAGAAGGTGCAGGTGAAGCCTTGGGGCTCGGGTAGTAATTCTCACGGGTCCCCATTTTACAGATGGGAAAGTCAAGGCTCCGAGAGCTAAGGACGCGCCCCACTGCAAACCAGACCCTGACTTCCAGGCCAGGCCCCTTCCCGCGCCTCCCACACGTCCCACCTGCATCCAGGCCCCATTCCTCCGAGCCAGCCCTTCCTCCCGTCAACCTCCGGGAGGCTCCGCAGAGAACCGCATCTGGATCTAATTACACTGGAACCCGCCCGCGCCCGGTTCGCTGCGTGTCTGTCTCAGCTGCAGAAAGCCGGGTCCTCGTCCTGTAGTGGGGACAGCGTGCCGGAACCCCAGTCTTAGGGTCGTGCTGGGCGAGTAGAAAGTACCCAAAACCCAGGTGTCTGCGAGCTGGAAAGTGGAATAAAACCTTTCCTTGCCCACCCCCAGGCACTCCGAACTCTTTCCTGGCCGGTGAACACCCCACAATACACACACACACACTTTGGGGATCCCTACAGGGTATTTCAGGAGCTCTGGTGGTGTAGTGCCTAAGGCATTTGACTGCTATCCAGAAGGCTGGCAGTTCAAACCCACCACCCACTCCTTGGAAGGAAGGTTGGGCAACCTACTTCTGTAGTGATACTGTCTGTAGTGATACTGCCTCGGAAACCCAAGGAGGGGTCACTATGAGTCGCATATGAGAATATGACGCTAGGGCAGTTGGGTTTGGTTTGGTTTGGTTGGTGGTGCAGTGCCTAAAGCATGTGACTGCAAACTAGAAGGCTGGCAATTCAAATCAGAAGGCTGGCGGTTAAACCCACCAGGCACTCCTCGGAAGGAAGGTTGGGCAATCCTACTTCCGTAGTGATACTGCCTGGGAAACTCAAGGAGGGGTCGCTATGAGTGGGGGTCGACTCGATGGCAAATGACAACAACAGCCACTTCTCAGAAGGAACATTGGGCAATCTATTTCTGTAGAGATACCACCTTGGAAACCCAAGGAGGGGTTTCTATGAGTAGGCTCCTACTCCATGGCAGTGAGGTGTTTTTTTTTTTTTGTAAAGGGTATTTTGATTTGACCTGTGAACTCCAGCTGGACAGACTGGATCAGGGTAACAACTTCCTTATCAGTGGTAACAGTCAGCTTCCACCCAGGGCCCAACACTGTCTGCTTTACATACATTCATGATTATCTCTCCTGCATTCATGATTATCTTTCCGGTTACTGTCTGGTTCTTAGCTGAGAGGGGAGGAGGGCTACATAGGTAAACTGAGGGGGGGACGAGCCAACAGAAATGGGGACCCACTTGGCCATCATTCTGCACCAGCACCCTCAACTTCTGTTCCAGGGCTCCAAGGGCACCCCGGACTCTGCCACTGAGAGAGGAACCTACACCCCAGGAAGTCTCGAGAAGGCGGCCTCACAGGTGAAAGGACAATGGCTGCAGTGGCGTGAACAGTGGTCCACCAAAAGATATGTCCAAGTCCTAACTCACTAGCCTGCAACTGTGACTTAACTGGGAAGAAAGGTGCTTGCAAACAGAATTAAGATAAGGATATGCAAAGATCACCTTGCATTTAGGGTGAGCCCTAAAGCCAGTCACAGGTGTCCTTATCAGAGAAAGGCAGAGATTTCAGACAGACACTCAAGGGAGAACAGCATGTGAGGGCAGAGGTAATAAACATGACAGTGGGCAGCCACCAGCCACTCCTTGGAAGACTGGGCAATCTACTTCTTGCAGTGATACCACCGCAAACCCAGGAAGGGGTTGCTATGAGTCGGAACTGACTCCATGGCAGTGAGTTTGGTTTTTCTTTTTGGAGCCACTAGCCAAGGAACTCCTGGAGCCACCAGGTGCTGCAGGAAGAAGCAAGACAGGGTCTTTCCCTAGAGCCCTCAGGGGGAGCAGGGCCCGCTGACAACCCTGATTTCTGGGGCTGAGAGTTTCTGTGGTCAGGACAGCGCCAGGTCACTGCTCCACTGCCCCTCTTGGGGTGAGTCGTGCACTCTCAGAGGTCCCTTGAGGTCAAAGTCGGCACCCAGCGTGGCTGGGCCAGGCATCCTGATACCAAGCCTGGGCGGCCGCAGAACAACCATTGAGATCAGATGTCCGCCTGGTGACTGACTTGAGCGCGGGCCACCCAAGGAACAAAGGGAACTTTATTCCCAGTGGTACACCCTGTGGAGAAAGTGGTGGGGGTGGGGAGCAGGTCAAGATAGGGAAGACAGGAGTTTCCTCTCAGGCTCACGAGGGGGGGGTGCTGCTGTCCCATGGGGGTGAGTCACAGCTTTGGGGGTGACCCTCCTGCCCCAGCCCGGTATCGACGGTCTGTGTCATCGCTGTGGCTGTCCTGGCCGCACAAACTGAAGTGGCAGCCACCCAACCCCTTTATTTCAGATGGAAAATGGGGCGTTCAAGGATTCTAGACTTTCCATTGCGTTCATCCCCCTGACCCCCAGCCAGTACCCCTTGGCAGCACCCAGGATGAGTTCCAGTCGCAAATAAGCCATCAGGAGGCCTGTGGGGGCCCTTGGGGGAAAGGCAAGACCCCGCTCTTCAGTGAGTTCTCAGAAGGGCCTGGCTGCTCCTCTTCCGAAGGCCCCGCCCCTTTCCGGGAAGCCACGCCTCCCAGTTGCCCGGGGCCTGCGTCCCCAGGTGTCCGCAGAGGGCTGCTACTCACCGGTCTGCAGCGAGGATCCGGCCGTCAGCAGGGCGGCGCAACAGGAAGAAGTGCGGCGGCGGGAAGGCCGGCAGCGGCCAGGGCTGGCGGGGCGCGGGCGGCACCTGCAGGCTGGA